TTGTTTTACGTTTAGCATTTAAATTACTTTCCACTTTAATATTACTCTCACTTAACGTATAAGACTTAAGTACTGATATCCAGGGTCTAGTTTCTTTCTCCTGTGAATGTCGAATTGCTCCAGCACCATTTGTTGAAAACCTGTCTTTCCCTTATTAAACTGCTTTTGCACATTCATCAGAAACCAGTTTGGCAAATATGTGTGGGTCTAAGTTCTCGATTCTGTTCCATTAATCTCTGTATTTGTCCTAACAAAGCCACCTAGTCTTGATTGCTACAGCTATATACGTAGTAAAACTGGGTAATTACTCCCGCTTCTTCCACTTGATTCTTTTTCAAAATTATCTTAAGCTATTCTTGTCCTTTGCTTTTCTGTATAAATTTTAGAATAATTCTGTCTGCCTTCAGAAAAACCTTCCTGGAATTTTGGCAGGAATTGGAGATAACTGACATCAATCTGCTTTGAGGAGAATTGACATCTTTATTGAGTATTTTAATCTATGAGTAGCTCCCATCTCTTCATTTATTAAGAATTCCTTTGATTTCTTTTAGCAGTGTTTCGTTTCTCTTTTTAAAAAATATTTTACTTATCTGTTTTTATTCTTTTTTAAAGGAGTGTTTTGTAGTTTTCAGGATACAGGTGTGAACCTAAAAGTATCTGAGACAGATCGCAATGAATTTAGAAAGATTATTTTGCTAAGATTAAGGACACCCATGACACAGCTTCAGATCCTCATGACATGTGCCCAGGGTGGTGCCCACAGCTTGGATTTATACATTTGGGGGAGACATGAGACATAAATCAGTATGTGTACAGTGTACATGGCTTCAGTCCGGAAAGGTGGGACCACTCAAAGCTGGGGAAGGGGCTTCTAGGTCAGAGGTAGACAAGAGACAGATGTTTGCATTCTTTTGAGTCTCTCATCAGCCAGCCTTTCACCAAAAACACATGTGGGGTGGAGTCAGGGTGTAGCCACTTATTCCTTAGTTTGGCTTAGAGAAACAATAGGTCAGAGGAAGCCATCAGACGTGCATTTATCTCAAGGAACAGAGGGAGGACTTTGCGTTCTCTGTCCTTGGTCCACCAGGAATTTGCTTGTGGGAAAATGGTGAAGGAGGTATATCGCTTTTTAAAATCTTTGTAGCTGTCTTATTTAGGATGAAAATAGGAGGCAGGTTTGCCTGACACAGTTCCCAGGTTGACTTTTCCCTTTGGCTTCATGATTTTGGGGTTCTGAGATTTATTTTCCTTTCACACAACTCCTGTGCTTGTTTCTTTTTCTTTCAATTTACATCTAAGTATTGATTTTCTTTGGCGTGTTTGTAAGTGGTATTGTATTTTGAATTTTGATGCTCATGTGTTCATTGCTAGTATATAGAAATACAACCGATTTTTGTATGTCCTGTGACCTTGCAAACATATTGTTCTAGGAGTCTTTTTAAAAATTCCTTGGGATTTTCTAGGCAGACAGTCGTGTCATAGATTGAAATACTTCATATAGTTAATTTGACAGTCCTCACCCAATTGATCTGTAAATTCAAAGTCCCTCTTGAAATCTTAGCTGCCTTATTTTCAAAAATTGACAAAAATCCTAACATTCATATGGAAAGGCAAGAGTCTCGTATTAGCCAAAATAGTCTTGAAGAATACAGTTTAAAGACGCATGCTTTCCAGTTTTAAAACTTACAACAAAGCTATGCTAACAAAGAGAATGGTAGTGGCAGCAGAATAGACGTGTTGATCAATGGAATAGAATCTAGAGTACAGAAATAATCCTCATATTTATGGCCAGTTGGTGTTTGGTAGTGGCGCCACCATTTCTTCCTTTTGTTTCTTCCTTTTTCATCTGTGTACGTTCTATTTGCTTTCCTTGCCTACTTGCACTGGATAGAACTTTCAACACTACCTTGAATGGGTGGCAAGAGGAGACATCCCGGCCTTGATTTCAATGTAATTTGCTTTTTCTTAAATAAAAAAGACTTTATTTCTTAGAGAAGTTCTGCGTTCGCAGCAAAATTGAGAGGAAGGTACAGAGGTTTTTCCATGTGTCCCCTGCTCCACACAAGCACACCCTCCCTCACTGGCAATACGCACAGCAGAATGGACCGTTTGACACAAATTGATGAACCTGCATTGATACATCATTGTCACCCAGAGTTCGTGGTCTACATTAGGGTTCATGCTTGGTGTTGGTTGGGAAAATGTGTAAAGACATGAATCTACCATTATGGTATCGTGCAGAGGAGGTTCACTGGCCTAAGAATCCCCTGTGTTCTACCTGCTCATCCCTCCCGCCCCCGACTCCTGGTGACCACTGATGTTTTTACTGTCTCTATAGTTTTGCCTTTTCCGGAATGTCATAGAGCTGGAATTACACAATATGCAGCCATTTCAGATTGCCTTCTTTCACTCAGTAATACGCATCTGTTTCCTCCATGTCTTTTCATGACTTGATACCGCCTTTCTTTTTAGCACAGAATAATCTTGCATTGTCTGGATGTGGAATAGTTTGTATCTATTCCTCTACTGAAGGACTTCTTGGTTTCTTCCAAGTTTCAGAAATTATGAATAAAGCTACCAACATCCACGTGCAGGTTTCTGTGTGGACACGAGTTGTCAACTCCTCTGGGTAAATACAAAGAAGTGTGAATGCTGGATCATATGGTATAAATATGTTTTGTTTTGTAAGAAACTGCCAAACTGGCTTCCAAAGTGGGTACCATTTTGCATTTCCACAGCAGGAATGAGAGCTCCTGCTTTTCCATGTTTTCACCAGCGTTTGGTGTCGTTGCTGTTCTGGATTTTGGCCATTCTAATAGGTGTCATGGTTTTAATTTGCATTTCTGATGACACATGAGGTGGAGCATCTTTTCAGATGCTTATTTGCTGCCTATGTATCTTTGGTGAGGTGCCTCTTTGCCTCTGAAGGTCTTTGATTCATTTTTTAATCAGGTTGTTTTCTTTTTCTTTGGTTTTTTCTTTTTCTTTTCTTTTCTTTTTTTTTTGAGACAGTCTTGCTCTGTCACCCAGGCTGGAGTGCAATGGTGTGATCTCAGCTCACTGCAATCTCTGCCTCCTGGGTTCAAGCGAGTCTCTTGCCTCAGCCTCCCAAATAGCTGGAATTACAGGCATGTGTCACCACACCTGGTTTTGTTTGTTTGCTTGTTTATTTGTTTGTTTTTTTGTATTTTTAGTAGAGATGGGGTTTCACCATGTTGGTCAGGCTGGTCTTGAACTCCTGACCTCAGGTGATCCACCCACCTCAGCCTCCCAAAGTGCTGGGATTACAGGCGTGAGCCACTGCGCCCGGCTTTTCTTTTTTTATTTTTTCAGACAGAGTCTCATTGTAGCTACCAGGCTAGTCTCAAACTTCTGGGCTGAAATTCACCTCCCGCCTCAGCCTCCCAAATAGTGGGAATTACAGGTGCAAGCCACTGTGCCTGGCTCTGTTTTCTTAAGGTTGAGTTTTAAGAATTCTTTGTGTATTTTGGCTAATGATCCTTTATCAGACACGTCTTTTTATAAATATTTTCTCCTGTTCTGTGGTTTGTCTTTCCATTCTTGACAGTGTTTCACAGAGCAGAAACGGTCAATTTTAATTAAGTGCAACTTATCAGTTCTTCTTTCATAGATTATGTCTTTGGTGTTGTATCTAAAGTCATTGCCAAACCAAGGTCATCTAGATTTCCTCCTACATTACCTTCTAGGGGTCGTACAGTTTTTTTTTTTTTTTTAACACTTAGATCTGTGATCCATTTTGAGTTAGTTTTGTGGCGTGTAAAGTCTGTGTCCCAATTTGTATTTTTGCATGTGAATGTCCAGTTGTTCCAGCACCATTTCTTGAAAAGACTTCTTTTTTTTCCTCCATTCTATTGCTTTTGTTCCTTTGTCAAGGATCAGTTGGCTATTTTATGTGGGTCTATTTCTGGACCGTCTATCCTGTTGCATTGGTCTGTCTATTCTTTTGCCAATACCACACTGTCTTATGTAATCTGCTCTGAAAACTCATTTACCGAGACCTTAGTTTGGGTTATTATGTTTTTTTTTTTATGTCTACAGTTTCTAATCGGCTCTTTAAAAAATTTCCTGTCTTTTTTTTATGGGTTTCAGATGTGACTTTATGTATCTGGAGCACACTAAGTGCGGCCGTGTGCAGACCCGTGTCTGACTGCCCCCGGTCTGGCAGCCTCCTCCTCCTCCTTGTGCCTCAGTTGCTTCTGCACGTTGCTGCCTTGTGTACCTGGTGATCTCTGATTGTGTGCCAGGAAGGATGTGGTTGATAAATTGTGGGAAGAAATATTTTGAAGCCTTGGATGATGAGACCTCTCTACAGGAAAATAGCATTTGCCACCATCTGTTGCCGGGGGGAGGGGGGGGCGGGGACGCCAGCAGTCTGGTATCCCCATCATTAGGTTTCAGGTGTTGGGGGCCTCTGGGCCCCAGGTGAAGTGGAACTGGGCTGCAAGGACGGGTGCAGCCTGTCCCTTCTGCGTCGTCACCCTTCCTGCTGGCAGGTGGGGCCAGAATCGAGCCTGTGTCCAGTGTAAGGGACCCCTGTGTCCAGTGTCAGGGACAGTGGCTTTTCAGGAGCTCGATGCTCATTAAAGGAGGCTACTGCTGCCCCCTTGCCAATGAGATGACAAACAACAGGCACCTGGCACCTCCCACCAGATGCCACTGATGGCAGCGTGCCGTCTGCAGTGATCAGTCCTGGTTGCCCCCCACATGCCTTTAGCTCTGTCTCGTCGGGTGCTGGTGCCAGATTCAGGGCTCTGTCACTCCTCTCTGACCTTGCCCTACCCTCTTTGGAGGTGGTGTCCACCTGCCATTGCCTGTTCAGGTTGAACTCATGTGCCCAGCTTCCCCCAGTGCCCCGCTTCTGTTCCTCAGCTGGGACCCCAACCCCTGGTCCTCCACCCTCCACAACAGAGTGACAAATTACGGGGGCACAGGTTCCCTTGAGCATATTTTGAAACGCTGAAGTAAACGCCAATCTAGGGAACAGTCGACATGACACTCCTTTATTAAAACCTAAGGACATCGTTATAAAAACTACTGTATATAAAGACAAAAGCAGAGCAACAGCAGTCAGTGAAAAACACATTGTTACATTCTAGTATTATTATTAGGAATAGCATTGGTTTTTGGTTTTCCCGGTTATCTGCTCTCAGACCCCAGGCCTGCTCCCGTGAAGTCAGGGTGGACGAAAGGGAAAATGTTGCCATCCCTCCACCCTGCCGCTGCGTGCCCTTTCCAGGCTGGCCCTGGGGAGGACACATCGACCTTTGGTGGGAGGTTTCCTGCCTAGCTCAGGTGACTGAGCCCCCACCTCGTTACTGCACACTGCCCAGACGCTGACCACTTGGTTATTTGACTGTGATGTGTGTCAGTATCTTTAAAATAGGACATGGGGAAAAATAGAAACTGGATATGAGAAACTGACGTGCAATTCCAAGAAGAGGCTTTCTCGGCCCCTGGCTTGGTTCCAGCTGTGGCCAGGGTGGCCATGTAATCTATAGTTTTTGATCCAGTGCTCAGGATTGGCGCTGACCAATGTGGGATTCTGCACTTTTTGGAGGGGCTGATTTAGGGTTGTTCAACAGGGTATCTCATCCCACAAACCCAAGAGGTCACCATTCTCAGGGCAGCCCATGTAAACGGTATTCCTGGGAGCCCATTCCCATTGGTGGGACAGTGTCTGGAGTTGAGCCCTGCAGCAGCCCTGAATTTCAGTCTGTCAAGGGCAAATCCATCAGGGCTTTGATGTGAAGATAGGAGTTTTAGGTACAAAGTAACTAATAGCCAAATCTGCTCATTCATCAAGCATGGATCTAGCACCAGCTGTTGGCCAGGGGCTTGCACTAGAAACTGGGGTGGGTAGGGGCAATGACACCTCCAAAGTCACTTTTGGGGGTGAGATAGGTGAGTGTTCTGTATATATTTTGTGAATCTGAACATGTCTGTTAGGCAAAACTAGTCATTTCGCAGGTGGTCCCAGCTGTAGCGGGAACGGCTCCCAGATGGGCGCTCAGCAAGTATCTGTTGAACAGGTGAGGGAAGTGCACAACATTGCACGGGTGTTCTAGGCGGATCCTGACCTCTTCCAGCGTGCCCCAACTGCCTAACTTTAACATTTGAGCTTTCTGGCCATAACCCCCAAAGTTCTCTGCGTTCATTTAAGTACCAGAGTGGGACATGCGGTGCTACAGCAAGGAACGAGGGCACTGTGTGTGGCAAATGCCCCACAGCAAGTGTACAGGCTTGTCTTCTGCAGGGCACAGGGTGTGGCTCCAGCCCAGGGATGTATTCCTGGACTGCAAAGGCCAATGATCAGGGTGGCATCCACTCACAGCCCCTCTGACCACCCGCAGGCTGTTGGGGGGCCGGGGCAGACACACACTGATGCCCACCACGTGAGCAGGATGATGAATCCCTGCAATTTGCTTCCACCATTCCAACCCTAGGTTTTCACAGCAGACGAAAGGGGCCCAGGGGGATGTCTCCCTCCAGGGATGGGTGGCCCTTCAACATTGCTAAGACATATGCCCCCAGTAACCCCATCCAGGGCTGTAATGTTTTCTTTCTTCCCTTCCTCCCCACCGGAGTCTCGTTCCATTGCCCAGGCTGTGTGCAGTGGCGCGAGCTCAGCTCACTGCACCCTCTGCCTCCTGGGTTCATGTTATGTTGATTTCAAGCATGGGGCATCTGTAAATTCACTTGTGCACATTATTCCTGTTGATAGGGACCAGCCAGCCAAGTTGAAAAATTAAAATAAGCCACCAAAACATTCTGCACGTCTGCACCTCCAAATAGACATGGAGATTGTGAAGGCTGCCGAGCCAGCAGAGGGGCCGGGGTGGGACGGTGGCTGGAGGGATGTAAAGGACCCGACCTGGACAGAGGCCTGTGGGGGAGTCAATGCCAGGCTTGGCCCAACCCACAGCCACAGCCCTGGTCTGTTTGACTAGACCTGAAGAGAGCTTTTAGGTGGTGGTGAACTGGGAACCATCTCCCGTCTCAGGAAGCCTGTTAACCCCAATTCTTGGTGGTGTTTTTCCTGACCTTCCCAAGTCCTGCTCTTCAGTTCTGGGCCAAGTTTGAATCTGATGATGAGGGGAGAGCCACCCACCCAGGGACCACTGTCAGCTGCCCACCTGCTGCTTCCTAGAGTATTAGAGCTAGCAAGAGGGACCGGATCTACCTGTGGAATCACCTGTGTGCATGCGTGTGCATGTATGCACTTGTGTGTTTTCAATTAAGGCCTGTTGCATGTCGGCAATAGTCGGGTGCTGGCCAGGCAGCTGGAGGGGGCAAGGCCAGGCGGGTGAGCAGGCTGCTTCTCTAGGTGCAGGGCATGGTCAGGCTAACGTGAGGGCATCGAGCCAGCGGGCACTACCAGCTACTGGTTCTGAACAGAGATTCTGAAACACACAACAGTCACACCGTACACAGACAAGAGGGGAAGCATAAAACTGCTCGTGAATCACACACAGTTCCCAGCGGGAAACGGTCCTTAGAAACGCGTCGTTCTGCACAGCAGCCTCAGCGCAGATTCCTCTGTGGACATCGCGTCCTCTTCTCTCGTTTTGTCTTTCCGTGTTATTACAAATTATGTGGTGATGGACAGAAGCTCACAGTAAAAAGGAAAAGTAGGCAGCTTAGAAAATCAGGTGTGGGAGTCACTAAAAAATGCTAACTCTAGAAATCTAAACTTGAACTCATCACAACCCTGACACCCTCTTGTTCTGAGGGACACTCTACTCATTGAAGGACTTGCCGGCCACAGCAGGATGGGGACAAGGTTTATCACAATGACCTGGGGACCTATGGGGTTCTGAATACACACCCCCACCTGCTTTCCACACCGAGTGTTCACACCCACGTGACACTGTTCGCGCCCCTCGGCTCCCCCGTGAGACAGCAAGTGCTGTGCTCACTGGAACCCCACCTCACACACTTCACAGGTGAGAGGCAGAGGCTCCGAGAGGTGAAGTGGCCAGCCGGGGTCACCTGCGGGAAGGAGGGTGCTGTGGTTGTCTACACGCTGCAACTGCCTTTGCCGAAGGCTACCTGTACCAGGTGTGCGGGGTCTTGGTGATTTCTGCTGAGGCCTGCTTGCCACAGAATGTTCCATGCCTCAGCCTGGCTGCCCCAGAGGTACTCCGCAGAGCAGCAGGACAACAGACCCCATGGGGCTTTTCAGTTCTTCCCGAAGGACCTCTGTTGGGGCCAGGAGGAATGTCCTTTTAGAAGGTTGTAAATATCAAGGGATGTCGCTCCGGTGAACCCCAGCTCTAGCTGTTATCTGGCAGTGACCTCTGACCCCAGGAGTCCAGAAGAGGGAGGCAAGGCCACCAGTTCTTTTGGCAGAGGAAGCACCTAAAGAGCATCATCCAGAATAGCAGGACACCAGGGTGGGCAAACCCCTTACGTAACCATCTGACTCCTTCCTCTTACCAGTGAGGACTCTGAGGGCACAGGCCTTGCCTGAGGTCACTCTGCTCTCAGTGGCAGAGCTGATGTCAGAATCTGAGTCTTGCTCCCCCCTCCCCCACTGCTGCCAAGGCTTCCTCTGCCTCCCGAGGCACTGCACAGGGGTGCAGCTGTGGCTGCCCCAGCTGAGCTTGTGGGCAGGCTGTGCACCCCTCCATGGCAACATGGCCCTGGGATGGCTCACATCAGGGGACAGCAAGCCATTCCTTTCTCTAATTGAGACCCCAAGCAGAGGTTCTCCTAATTTGGCTCAGCCAAGCCATATGCCTGGAAGAGACGGCTTGTCCCAAAGACTGAAGCCAGGGGCCTGGGTCTTCCACAGGTGACCTTTGTGACCCTGGGCAAGCCACTTGACCTGGCCGAGCCGTCTTCTCATCTATAAAAGGGGGAGAGCCCCTTCTTTCTGGGGCTGTCCAGAGGATGGAGAGCCAGGCAACATGGAGGATGCTTTATGCCCTAGCAGGTTGTTTCTGCTTTCCCAAAGGCAGGGCACTGTGTGTGTGCAGCGTGACTCAGTGGATTCCAGAGCCGGGCACTCCTGCCTTCCTTGCCCTCTGCCTTCCTTCCCCTCTGCCTTCCTTCTGGATCCCAGCCACCTGGCTTTCTTACACTTCCTTGAAACCACCAAGCCTACAGCTGCCACAGGGCCTTTGCACTAGCTGTTCCCTCTGCCTGAAAAGTTCTTTTCCTGTCTTTAACACCCATGGCTTGCTCCTCTGTCATTCAAACCTGGGCTTCAATCACCTGCTCAGGAAGGCCTTCCCAGACCTCTCCAGGTGCACAAGGGCCTTACCCACGTGTCCCTCAGACTGAGTTCTTGGCGGAGCACTCACCGTCCTGCACCTTCCTTCTTCAGTGTCTTCCCACTCCAGCTAGAGAGTCAGCAGGGACCTGCCCTGCTCACTGTCATATCTGGTGAATGGATGGGCGGTCAGCATGAGAACAGTGGGTCTGATGAAGTGAGGAAACTGAGTCAGAGGATACATAGTCTATTAAGCAGGGCCTCCCAAGCTAAGAGCTGGGGAGATTTGGTATCACTAGCAGCCATGGAATGAGTGTATCTACACTGGCAGTGTAGCCTTTAGAGATGTTTGTCATCATCATTTAAGTGATGCCGTCTCATCTGTGCCCCGGGGAGGGGGGGCAGGAGTGGAGGTGATTAGCTCTGTGTGTGGATATTATGGGCGTCTAATTTTACGTGGAAGTTCCACTTTAAAGTGGATGAATTTCTAGAACCCTCCTCTCTGGGTTTCCATAGCCTTGTTACCCTTTCCAGCAGAGATCCATGTGTCTGTCTCTCCCACCAGATGGGGAGCTTCCCAGGGGCAGAGACGAGGTCTGGCTCATCTCTTATCCCCACCACTGCCCAGCATGGGGCCTGGCACACAGCAGGCACTTAGCCACAATGTGCTGAGTGGATCAGCGCTCCAGGCGGTGATGGTGGAGAACTCAGGGTGATGGCCTGCAGAGGCATCAAGGAGATGCTGCCGGCATGGTGCAGGGCGTGCCCGGGCGGGGAGCACGTCATATCCAGGGTGTTGGAGACTGGCCTTTGGGTTCCTGCACCCCTGAGGTCAAAGGAGGGGTTGATCTCCTCCTGGCCATGTGGCCCTGGGCACCCCGACCCCACTGTTTCTGCAGGGGGTTAGTCATACCTGCCTCCCAGGTGGTGAGAGGGAGTGTGCATGAAAACACTTAACTTGGTACCTGCCACCGTCAGCCTGAGATGCGTCCCTTAGTATTACTATCATTACAGGAACGAATTCTTTAAGAACCAACCCCGACTGGCATCTTCACATCCCCAGTGCCCCCCGAGACACAGAGGGGCTGTGCCCTGTGCTTAGCAAGAAACTGGTGGCCCAGGCCTTGACACCAATGAGAACCCCCAGCCAGAGGGTGGCCCCTGCCCATCAGAGAACTTGAGTGGGGAAGCCGCAATAAAAACCAACCAAGCAACCAAGAGGAACACCCCAAATCACACACGCGCACACACACACACGCACATTCAATATTCTAACACAAATAGGCCCAAGGGGCCGCTATTGGAGGGAGAGGGGGCAAGGGAAGTTTCGGTTTTCAGCCACAGGTATAACTCACAGGCCTCAAACCTCCTGGCTGGAACCAGCCAGAGTTGCTTTGTCTTGGTCATCCTGAGTCCACAATGAGTCACCTCTCAGAAGCCACCAGCCCAAAATAGGACTATTGCTTGCAGACAAGTGGCTCAGAATCCCTTCCCCTGTACCCCCAGCCCCTACCCCTGAGTTTGCTCCTAATCTCAGAAGTCCACGGAAGGGAGCTTTGGGCACAGGCAGCATTTCCTCCTCTGCCACCGCCACCACCTCGGCTCGCCCTGGCATCTCTGCAGAAGTTGTTCTCGGAGGCTGCACCAGGTGCTTCGGCTCTCATCTCCCCCATCCTGAGGCACAGCAAAAGGGTTTTCTGGAAGAAATAGAAAAAGAGTGTCACATGGTGCTTCCTCCATGGGGACCCACTAGGGACATTTCTCTCTGGCCTCAGTGCCAGAAGAAGCCAGGTTTCCTCTGAGCACCTGGCGTTTGCCTTCTGAGCACTGTGAACCATGTGACTTTAAGACTGGAAGCAAGACAACAATGTCTGCTATCATGATAGCTCCACAGAGTGCCAGAGCCCTGGCCCATGCAATAAGACAAGGAAAAAAGAAAAAAAAAAAGCACAGAACTGAAATAGAAGAACAAAGGTTACAGTTAATTATGGATAACTTACATAGAAAATTAAACAGAATTAACAGGTTATTAGTAGAATGGAGAGTACAGACAGAGATATAATAGTTAACCTATAAGACATCAAATCAACTTATAAAATGCAAGAGCATGCAATGACCAGGGTAATTATACGTCTGGGCTTGGGACAGTCTGTTAACACCTGTTGTTTTGACATAATTTTTAATATTGTTCCCCTTTTACCTTCAAAAGTATTCTGATTTGGATGATAAATTATACACCCTTGCTATAAAAAGCTAAAAGTATGAAACACAGATACGGATACCATTCATACTGACAAACACCATTATGCATTTTGGAATGACACTAAGATATGACCATGTCATACAAAGTGATGGAGAAGACACCAAGGTGCTCCTGGAACAGGGAAGAGTCAGGAGACCAGTGCAACAGGATCTGCAGTGTGGAAACAGGTCTGTGGGGCTCTTAGGGCTTTCACTGGCAGAGTCATGTTGCAAACAAGACACACTAACTCCATCCGTGGCCGGCAACACCCACTGCCCTGTGTCTGTTACAGGAGCAACTGCCCAGTCACAAATACTTACCTTCCCAGACGCCCTTGCAAGCCGGGGTGGTCACATGACCCAGTCTGACCAATGCTGTCTAAATGGGAGTCCATGGGGAAGGGGATAGGAATCTGGGGGAAGATGGACTATGAGAATGAAGGACGCTCACTAACACAGGTGGAGTAGAAAGCAGGGAGAAGTTTCATTCTGGTGGCAGCCCGCCCTGGACTGCCCCCTCAGCATCACTGCAGGAGACTTTCTTTCTTTCACTTGCCTACGTTGCATCTGATGACAGTTCTTAACTGATAAACCATCTTCAACCAGGCTTAAAGTGTATTTTTTTGGGCAAACGGAGATGTCAAGGGAGGGGCTCTGATAAAGCCAGCAAAGCCCACCTATCCAGAGTGAGCGAGACCCCAAGAGGCAGGACCTCTATTAAGAATATATAAGAATACTCTCTATTCTTAGCATCAGTGGGAATGTGTACGGGGACTAAGGGTGAGGGATTCTGTGGGGCCATCTCCTCTGCGTCACAGAACAAAGCCAGGTCCAGGTATTCTCCATCACCCACTTTTTCTCCATAGCACCCATCTCTATCCAGCATACCACCTATTGTACTTACTTGAATACTTTGTCTTCCCCAAATAGAAAGCTAGCTACAAGATGGCTAACGTGATTGTGTGTTTTACACACTGCTGCATTGCCAGGGCCTAGAAAAGTAACTGGCATACTGTAGGGGCTTAATAAATATTGTCAAATGAATGCATGACCCATCTTTCAAGTATAAAGTCAACAGAAAAATGTGCTGAGCATGTTTGTGAATTACAGTTCCCATTACTCCTTCTTAATAAAATTATTCAGGACACCCTTAGGCAAATCAAGAACGATTCAAAGGATGCGCAGATGATTTTTAAAACGTTTTGTGGAGGGGGGCGATAGCTGCTGTATTAGTCTATTTTCATGCGGCTGATAAACGCATACCTGAGACTGTGCAATTTACAAAAGAAAGATGTTTAAATGGACTTACAGTTCCACATGGCTGGGGGGGGCCTCACAATCATGGCAAAATGCAAAGAGGAGCAAGTCATATGTTCTGTGGATGGGGGCGGGCAAAGAGAGCTTGTGCAGGGAAATTCCCATGTTTAAATTCATCAGATATCATGAGATTTATTCACTATCATGAGAAGAGCATGGGAAAGACCCACCCCCATGATTCAATGACCTCCCCCTGGGTTCTCCCATGATGCTTGGGAATTGTGAGAGTTACAATTCAAAATGAGATTTGGGTGGGGACACAGCCCTACAGTGAGAAGGTCCTTAACGCCCCTGAACTGCATACTTAAAAATGGTTAAAATGGTAAATGATATGTGCATTTTACCACAATTCAAAAAAGGATGAGCAGAAGCATAACAAACAAATGCAAATGAAGACAAATCCAGGGGTCAAGGTGTAATTGGAGCACTGCCAAGAGCACCAGAATTGTGTGTAGAATTTGTGTAACTGTAGGACTACGCTGCAGCCCGTCTAAAGATTATGGCCATCACAGAGAAGAATGAAACAAAACAGAGAACTGGCATAAGTAACTAAAAAGTAGGAGGGGCTGGGTACAGTTGCTCACGGCTGTAATCCCAGCACTTTAGGAGGCCAAGGTGGGCAGATCACCTGAGGTCGAGAGTTTGAGACCAGTCTGACCGACATGGATAAACCCCGTCTCTACTGAAAATACAAATTTAGCTGGCCATGATGGCACATGCCTGTAATCCCAGCTATGCAGGAGGCTGAGGCAGGAGAATTGTTTGAACCTGGGATGCGGAGGTTGCGATGAGCCAAGATGATGCCTTTGCACTCTAGCCTGGGGGACAAGAGCAACTCTTGTCTCCAAAAGAAAAAAAAAAAAAAGAGGGGTGGAGGTAAGAACAAGGGTGGTAATATAAGTAAACTATGTCATATTCATGTATAGTCGTGGGGCTTAAAGGATTGCTTAGAAGTTTAAAATTAGAGGCATCAAGGTGAACAGAAAAAGTATAATCAACTAAAAATAATGTAATGGAAAGGAGACAAGAGGAAGAAAAGCAGAAATATTCTAATTTTGACATCGCTCACGGGAGGGAGAAAATAAATGTTGTCTAGAGAAATAGGATTAAAGCTATCATGTCGTATTATAATTATGAAGATAACCGTGGGATCAAAAATACAGCTTTCCAAATTATCAGAATACAGACAAAAAATAAAACAGACAACAGAGACCATATGGTGAAAACTGACAACCCCCACGAAAGCTCTAAAGGCATAAAGCATATCAAACAATGATGACAGAACAAAGACCAAATATATCTGCCGTATCAGTAATAGTAATGAGCCATACCCACTTGCTAGAAAAGACTGGATCACAAGCAGGTGCACTGAAGGTGGGATGAATCAGAAAGTTTTCATAGAAAAGGATGGGCAGATGACTTTTACAAAGTTCTGCAGATGGATGATGATGATGATGGTTGCACTACAGTGAGAAGGTACTTGATGTCCCTGAACTGTATACTTTAAAAATTGTTAAAATGTGGCCAGATGTGGTGGCTCATGCCTGTAATGTCAGCACTTTGGGAGGCCGAGGTGGGCAGATCACAAGGTCAAGAGATCAAGACCATCCTGGCCAAGACAGCGAAACCCCGTCTCTACTAAAAATACAAAAATTAGCTGGACGTGGTGGTGCACACCTGTAGTCCAAGCTATTTGGGAGGTTGAAGCAAGAGAATCACTTGAACCCCAGGAGGCGGAGGTTGCAGTGAGCCGAGATCACAAACTACACTTCAGCCTGGCGACAGAGTGAGACTGCATCTCAAAAAAAAGGTTAAAATGGTAAATGTTCTGTGCATTTTACCATGATTTAAAAAAAAAGGATGAGCAGAAGCATAACAAATGCAAATTAAGATAAATCAGGGGTCATAATCTTAATATCAGACAAGGTTGAAGTCAAGGCAAGAAATACTGAATGAGAAAAAAGAAGGGCACTGTGTGAGGGTGAAGGATGAGAGTCACCATGAAGATTTAACAGTAATGAATGTTCATGTACCAAATAGCATAGCCTCAATATTCATAGAGCAAGAACTACTGGAAATTTAGGAAGAAAAAACGGTGTGCTAGTGTTGATGCATTTTTCTTTTTTTTTTTTTTTTGAGATGGCGTCTCGCTCTGTCCGCCAGATTGGAGTGCAATGGTGCAGTCTCAGCTCACTGCAATCTCTGCCTCAAAGGTTCAAGCAATTCTCCTGCCTCAGCCTCCTAAATAGCTGGTATAACAGGTGCTGGCCTCCATGTCTGGCTAATTTTTTTTTTTTTTTGCATTTTTAGTAGAAACGGGGTTTCACCATGTTGGCCAGGCTGGTCATAAGCTCCTGACTTCAGGTGATCCGCCCGCCTTGGTATCCCAAAGTGCTGGGATTATAGGCGTGAGCCACCACGCCCAGCCTAGTGCATTTTAATTCACCTTTCTCAATCCATTTCAGATGCAGTTGGCAAAAATAAAAGGAGATAGGGAGCCAAAAAATCTAATTAACAGCTCTGTGTGTGTGTGTGTGTGTGTGCGCGCGCGCGTAAAATGCAGTCTACCTTCCTTCTATTCAAATACTCTTGAAAATGCATATGCAAAAAATGACTATCAGACCACAAAGATAGTAAATTCCAAAAAAAAGACATGCTTTGATCACAATATACCAGAATTTGAAAATACTAATAATGAAACCACAGATCAAACCAAACTTTACCACCAAGAAGTTTATAAATGCTTAAAAATAACCTCGAATTAAAGAGAGCAAAAAAACAAACTGCAGAATATCTAGACAATAACAAGATAGATGTTTAAGGAATTGTGGGATGCAGCCAAGCCCACACTGAGAGGAAAATATATAGCCTAAAACAGTAATCTTATTAATAAAGGAGAAAGCATGAATTAATTGCCCAGCTCAAAAAGTTAGAAAAAGACAAAGTAACCCCAAGACAGGCACACAATAGCAATAAATGGAAACAGAAATGAAGTTAACAGCAAAACAAAGGAACTCATAAATAACTCCATGTTCTTTTTTTAATTTTTAAATTAATTTTTAGAGACAGGCTCTTGCTCTGTCACCCTAGCTGGAGTGCAATGGTGCAATCATAGCTTACTGCAACCTCAAACTCCTGG